CCAGCCCCGCCCGACCCCTTGACAGCCCCTCGCCCAATCGCCCGCGACCCCGCCTTCCGAGTTGTCTGGTCAATCGCTCCGCCCACTGTCCGCTCCGCCCCACCGCAACCCAAGGGGCGGGGCTCTAGGATAGGGCGGGGCCCGGGGAGCAAGGGCGGGAGCCGGATTCCAGACAGCTGGTGTGGCCCTAGCAGACAGCCTCCCCCCTCCCCGCCCCGTGCTAGGCCTTCACACTGAGCTACATCCCCACTCTTTTTTTTTTCGGTACCGGGGATAGAACTCAGGACCTTGAGCTTGCAAGGCAGGCGCGGCGCCACTGAGCTACATCCTCGGCCCTGAGCTAAATCCCTGGGCCCCCAGCCCTTTTTAAATTTTGAAACAAGATCTTACTATGTTGCTCAGGCTGGCCTCGAACTTGCAGTCCTCATGCCTCAGTCCCAGAGTGTGGGATGACAGGCGCGCGCCCTCTCGCTAGCTGGGACCGGCTGGTTTGACCTCCTTGGGGACGGGCGCGGGGCGGAGTTCCCAGGGTGGGGTGTGAAGGGCACACGCGCGAGGCTCGGTTCTCCGGTGTTCCCACACGTGCATGCGGGTGTGTTCGCGCCGACCACGCAAGGCAGTGGTGCACTTGTTGGACATGGGGGCGAGATGTCAGGGAGCGGGGTGGGTTTGGGGCAACCTGGACTACAGACTGCAATGCCGCCGGCGGGTGACGTCATAGCTTCCCATCTCCTTGGCGACGGGGGCGGGGTCAGGGGCAGGGGACCTGAGAAGGCAGGGCTGCCCTGGCCCCCGGGCTAGCTAGGCAGAGGCGCTCCCCCCGGGAGCGGAGGGGTGGAAGTTTTAGGGGAGCTGCGTCCTCTTGTGGATGCCTGGGGAGAGGAGATAGGGAGGGAGAGGCGCTGGAACCCAGAAATGGCCCGACTCCGAGCCCAACACGATCAACCTTCCCCTTGAAAGTGTTTCTTACCCCCGGACGCGTGGGGGCGCACGCCTGTAACCCCAGCACTCTGGGAGGCTGAGGGAGAAGGATCGCAAGTCCAAACTCAGCTTGGGCAACTTGGTGATTTAGTGACTGAGACTCCGTCTCAAAATTAAGAAATAAAAAAGGGCTGGGGAGAAAAGGGGCGTGCTGGGTATGTAGCTCAGTGCGAAGGCCCCAGGCTCAATCCCCGGTACCGAAAACAGTGTTTCCTTAAATGGAGGGTGCGCAATTTAATTTTATCTTGTTCTGATAACACCGCAAAGATGGCCAGAGGGGTCGCAGCGTCGTCCCCACTTCACAGAAGGGACGGGAGGCACAGATGTCCACCGGTAGCAGCTTTAACGTGTTTAACGTGCGGTGCTGGGGATGGAGCCCAGGATCTGGCGCCTGCCGCCCCCGAGCCTCGTCCGCCGCCATCCTGCCTCAGGCTCAGGAGGAGCGGATGACAGCCCGCGCGTGTCCGACGTCCGCCGAGGCCTCAGCGTTCCTGATGGCAGTCGGAGCCCGAGCCAGGCTCGATGGGGCCTGACTCCCCAGCTCTCAAGATATGGGGATTATCCTTTGGGGTGCCCTTGCGGAGCTTTTATTATATGTGGGATTTATTTTGAGTGAAGTCCCAGTGTCTGTACGAACCCAAGAACGTCCTCACGCTGATCTGTGCCTTTTTTCCGCGGTCCCCAGCTAGTCCAGCAGCGGCCTGATTGATCCCTTGTGGGCGACGAGGCCCTGCCCCCACCTGAAGCCCGCCCCCACCGAGCCCCGCCCCCGAGCCCTTTGCGCCAGCCGGAGACTGGCCCCCCCAGAACCCCGCCCCGCCCCCCAGAGCTCCACCCCTACGGTCCCTCCTTGCCCCTGGAGTCCGGTCCTTCGCCTGGCGCCCCGCCCATACGACCCCGCCCCCAAAGACTCGTCCAGTCAGCACCCGCCTCCTGGCCCCGCCCCGAGCCGCCCCGCCCCGTGCCCGCCCCCGAGTCCGCTGCGCGCCCGCCGCCCGGCCCTCCGCAGCGGCACCCTGGTGCGGCCGAGCGCGCGTCGCGAGTCCAGCCATGTCCACCGAGGGAGACGGAGCCGAGGCGGCCGCGGGGCTGGCAACGGCGGCGGCGGCGGCCGAGGAGGCGGCGCCCGCGGAGGACCCGGCGCCGAAGCCCGCGCCGGCCGAGGCGGCCGCGCCCACGCTGCGCTGCCTGCTGCTCACCGGCTTCGGCGGCTACGACAAGGTGAAGCTGCAGCGGCGGCCGGCCGCGACCCCCGCGCCCGGGCCGGGCCAGCTGAGCCTGCGCGTGCGCGCCTGCGGCCTCAACTTCTCCGACCTGTTCGCGCGCCAGGGCCTGAACGACCGCCTGCCGCCGCTGCCGGTCACCCCGGGCATCGAGGGCGCGGGCGAGGTGGTGGCCGTGGGCGAGGGCGTGGCCGACCGCAAGGTGAGCCCGGGGAGTGGCCGCGGGGCGGGGGGAACCGCGGGCCCTCGCTCGGAGCCACGACCCACAGCGTATTTTCCTCGGAGACAGGGTCTCACTAAGTCACTAGGTACCCTGGCTGGGCATCAGCTTGAGATCCTCCTGGCTCAGCCTCCCAGTGCTGGTACTGGCGTGCCCACCACGCCCAGGTTTGTTTTTCTGTGTTTTGTGGCGCCGGGGCTGGAACGCAAGGCCCCGAGCAAAGCGAACCAAGGCTCTGACCGGGAGCTGAGCCCTCGCTGGAACTGCGATTTCGGGGTTCTTGGAGAATGGTATTATTTTGGGGGGAGGACAGTGATGGCCCCGTCCCCGACCACTCCGAGTCGCGGCCACCGCCCTAAAGCGGTAGGGGGAGGGAGGGACAATAAGACACCCACGCGCATGCGCGCAGTGACCCGCGCACCCACCCCCATTCCCCGTCAGCACACCCCAGAACCCTGAACCCCGGCCCTCCGGACACCCAGGGGTATTCAGTGAGCCTGGGTGACGGCCGTGTCCTCGGGGCTGGGCGGGGCCCTGCCAAACCCGAGTCACATGCAGCCGCGTGGGCGGAACCCACCCATCACGGGGGGGGGGGGATCTTTGTCTCCCGTGACTGCGTGGCCCCCGCCCACCGTGACTCAGCTGCACAGACCCTGCTGGCCGGGCCCTTCCGGGTGGACCTCAGCCTCCTCCGGGGACCCTGGCCTCGAACCCGAGGCTAGGTAGGGAGGGTGCCTGAGCAGGTTGGCCCAGCTCTGCCAGTCCCTTTCTCCTCCCTTATCACTCATCTCGGCCAGGACCGGACACCAGACACCTCCCAGTGATCAACTTTCTGAGAGCCCTGGGTGCAGCCTCTGCGAGTCACGTGTCCAGGGGTTCAGGGTGAGCTGGGGGCCACTTGGAGTTACTGCACAGCTGCCCCTCCTCCTCAGAGGCGTCTCCCCGAGTCCACCTCTGGACCTACCGTCCGCACTCCTTGGTCACCCACTCGGGAGAGGAATGCTGGGCAGGGAGGCACAGTTCTGGGTGCCCAGCGGCGCCACCACCTCCCCTCACGTTTCCGCAGGGTAAATACAGGAAATCCCAAGGCTCTGATGTAAGAGCAGACCGGCCCCGCTTCCCCGTTGTCTGCCTGGGGAGGGCCCGGTGTGCAGCTGCAGTAGGCTGCCAGACAGGCTCACGCTGTCACCTGAGGGGGGCTGGGGGACGCGAGAGGGCGCAGTGTAGGTAGGAGGACCGCGAGCCTCCCCTTCCTCCCTGGCTGGAGTAGGACCGGCCTGGGCTGTGTGCCCCCTCGTGCTGGCCCTAACCTGCCCGGGCCTCCCTGACTGGGTGCCAGCCTGGGGACCTGTTACCTCCACTCCTCCCTCCGAGGCTGAGGGGAAGTGTGATTCCTAGTGGCTGGGTTGGGGTGCAGCCCCGCCCACCGGGTTACCAGGTGAAGGTTTTCAGGGTCCAGTGCTGGTGACCCGGCCATACCCAGCTTGAGGTCCTGTGCCTCGTGTGCCTTTGCCACTCGGCGGCCTTTCCTACTTGCTGGGGCTGGAAGTCGTCGGTCGGTTTTTTCCACTTGAGCCTTAGTACTCTCGTGCTTTGCAGATAAGAAAACTGGTTAGATAATTTGTTTGGGGCTGGGGATTTAGCTCAGTGCTTCCGGCGCCTGCCTCGAAAAGCACAAGGTCGTCAGTTGATCCCTGGTACCAAAAAAACAAACCTAAACAAGATAATTTGTTTGCCTGCAGTCACACTGCTGGCTGTTGGTGGAGGGCATTTCTGTAACACAGGCAGTTTGCTCCCTTTCACCACCTGCACTCAGGCCTAACCGTAGCTTCTTGAGATCAGTGATCTTATACAGCTGAACATAAGGGTAGGATCTACCTCAGAGCTGGTGGAAAGATTAACTTTTTTTTGAGAAAGACTCTCACTGTGTAGCCCAGGCTGGCCTCGAACTTGCAGCAATCCTCCTGCCTCAGCCTCCTGAGTGCTGGTATTACAGGAATGTGTCACCGTGCCTGGCTTTTTTGTTTTTCTGAGGCAGGGTCTTGCTATGTAGCCCAGGCTGGCCTTTGACCTCACGTCATTCCTCCTGCCTCAGCCTCCCAGTATTGCGATCACAGGAATCCGCTACCATGCCCAGTGATTCAGGGCTGTGTAAGGCACTTGGGTAGGGCTGGCCCTCAGTAAGCTCTCCGGGAAGCCAAGCTCTTGCTGGTGGCTGTTATGGGCCTGCCCAGGACTGCTGCTTCTGCTCCCCGTCCTCCGGAAGATGCCTGGGCATGGGGAGCGAAGTTGGGGGGGGTGACTGCCTGGCCCCCTTCTTCCCTCTTCCAGGTGGGGGACCGGGTGATGGTGCTGACGAGGTGGGGCATGTGGCAGGAGGAGGCCACAGTCCCCGCCACCCACACCTTCCTCATGCCCGAGGCCATGACCTTTGAAGAGGCTTCGGCCCTGCTGGTCAACTACCTGACAGCCTACATGGTCCTCTTCGACTTCGGTAACCTGAGGCCTGGCCACAGCGTCCTGGTGCACATGGCTGCAGGTGAGGGCCCTTCCCTGTTCTCCCTGGCCCCGCCCGGCTTTCCCTCCAGCAGCCTGGCTGGCTCGTTGCCATGGCAACGCCAGGCTGCCTGGGCCTGGGGTGCCCAGAGGCCTCTGCAGGAGGGTTGCTGTGGTAACGCGGCTCCAGGTCCAGCCTGGTGTCCTTAGCAACCAGCCCTGGCCCACACCCTCTCCTCTCTGGCCACCCTCCCCCGGTCAGTCTCAGTCATGGAAATGCAGGGACCTGGGTCCCAGATGAGCACGGTCCCCGGAGGCCAGGAGAGAGCTGTGCCCAGGGGTTGCCAGGCTCCTTCTGTGGATGTCTTGCTGCAGGCGGTGTGGGCATGGCCGCCCTGCAGCTGTGCCGAACAGTGGAGAACGTGACCGTGTTTGGGACGGCCTCGGCCAGCAAGCACGAGGTGCTGCAGAAGAACGGGGTCGCCCACCCCATCGACTACCACACTGCAGACTATGCGGCCGAGATCAGGAAGATCTCCCCCAAAGGTGGGCGGGGCCGGCACAGGACAGGAGGAGCCCCCCCCCCCCCCGCCGATCGCCGATCCTCACCCTGTCTCTGCTCCCCCTCTGACAGGAGTGGACACCGTCATGGACACTAGGGGCGGGTACGACACCGCCAAGGGCTACGGCCTCCTCAGACCCCTGGGCAAGGTCGTCTCCTACGGTGAGCGGGCGAGGGGGTGGGGATCTGGGTAGAGGCTCAGGGCCCAGAGCAGCCCCGGGTAGCGGCAGTGGATTCAGTGGCTGCCTCCTGGGGAGTCCTCTGTGGCTCTGCGTATATCCGGGTCCCCCGTGCTGCTGCTGGGGACCATTGTGGGTGCAACACCGGCCAGCTGCCTTCCTGTCCCACCCTGGGAGAGCTGGATTTCCATTCAGAAAGCTGCTTCAAACCCGGTGAGGGGGTGCACACCTGTGATCCCAGCACTTGGGAGGCTGAGGCAGGAGGATCACTGCAAGTTTGAGGCCAGCCTGGGCTATACAGTGAGTCCAAGACCAGCCTGAACTACAGAGTCAGTGAGACCTTGTCTCAAAGAACAAAAAGCTGCTTTACACAAAAAGTAAATTGGGGGGACATAAAAACTAAGATCTAGGCTGGGGATTTAGCTCAGTGGTTTCGCCGCCTGCTGTGCAAGTGCAAGGACCCAAGTTCGATCCCCGGTACCAAAAAAAAATCAACTAAGATCTGAGGCCAGGTGTGGTGATGCACACCTGTAATCCCAGCACCCAGGAGGCTGAGGCAGGAGGATTGCTGTAAGTTTAAGACCAGCCTCAACTACCTAGCAAAACCTTGTCTCAAAAATAAATTAAGATGTGTTACACACATGCACCAACTCCTTGTGGTCAATATAGTTACTACATACTGCAAACGTGGACCAACAAAAATTAAACTTAAAATGAAGTAAACGTGAAGATGAAGGGAATTTCTGAGACAGCCAGTGTTGGGACCACCCTGCCTGTCACTCCTAGTACCCCGGAGGGTAACGGCGGGGGCAGATAAGCATGTGAAGCCCGGCTCACAGGCGGCCACCTCGTCCCGGACCCACAGGGGTGGCTAACATGCTGACGGGCCCCAAGCGGAACCTGGTGGCCATGGCCCGCACGTGGTGGAACCAGTTCAGCGTCACGGCCCAGCAGCTGCTGCAGTCCAACCGCGCCGTGTGCGGCTTCTACCTGGGCGCGCTGGAGGAGGACACGGAGCTGCTCCGTGGCGTGGTGGCCCGCCTGGTGGCCCTGTACAGCCAGGGCCACATCAAGCCCCACATCGACTCCGTCTGGCCCTTCGAGAAGGTGGGTGTGCGGGTACGGCCAGGAGGCCTGGGCTCTCCAGAGGGCTTCTCAGTCCCACTGTTCTGGGAGGCTGAGGCAGGAGGGTCCAAGATCAAATTCAGCTTGGTCAACTGAGACCCTGTCTCAAAATTAAAAATAAAAGGGGCTGGGGGCCGGGGATTTAGCTCAGTGGCACGGCGCCTGCCTCGCAAGTGCAAGGTCCTGAGTTTGATCCCCAGTACCGCAAAAAAAAAAAACATAAAAATAAAAGCGGCTGGGGCTGTAGTTCCGGTGCGAAGGCCCTGGGTTCAAGCCTCAGTGCTACACAGAAGACAATCTTTCTCTTGGGACTCCTGGGGCACAGCTGTGGGGCCGGTGGGCACCGGGAGCAAGGGCTCCTCTTCCTCCCCAGGTGGCCGACGCCATGAAACAGCTGCAGGAGAAGAAGAACGTGGGCAAGGTGGTCCTGGTGCCCGGGCCCCAGGAGAACTAGTGCGGCTTGTGGGCCTGCCTGTCGCTGGCCCCTGCCTGCTGCTCTGTGGCCCTGCTGGCCCACGCGGGCTGGGAAGCGAGCACTGGGTGTCCAGGCCCTGCCAAGGGGCAGGGCGGGCAGGAGGCTGCTGCTCCCGTGCCTGCTGCTTTCGTGCCAAGGTTCAACCCCGCCTGCCCTGTGCCCTCTGCCTTGCCCTCCCTGCCAGCCGCTCCCTGAGTGAGTCCAGCATGACCCCGTCCCTCCCGCCCGTCCGACCCCAGCTGCTTAACCCTGACTCGGTCCACCTCCGCCTCTTCGGGGTGCGCCCCCCTCTTGCTCCGCCCTGAGCCCAGGCTCCCAGCGCCCTGCCACTGAGGCCTTGCGACTGCGCTCACACCGGAAACCTGTGCTGGGCGGGGTCCAGCCCGCTCCGCCCCGCCCTAGTGCCTTCCCCGTCCAGTCCCAGGGCTGGGCCCGTTCCCACAGCTGCCCCAAAGGCCCCTGAAGCAGCCTGGGAGGAGGAAGAGGCAGGGGGGTCTCAGCTGGGGACAGCGCAGCCCGAGGGGGAGGCAGGACAGGTTCCCTTGCGGGGTGGGAGATGGTGAGCAGAGGCATGGGGAGCCAAGGGCCTGGGCTGCGGCCCCCACACTAGGAGGGCAGGGAAGCAGACGGGTGGCCTCGCGTGGGGTGTGCCTGCCCCTCTCAGGCACAGCTGCCATTGTGTTTGTGTCAATAAAAAGCCAAACCCAGCCGGCCACTTCTGGGTGTCACTTCCCCACTGCCCGGGGCGCTTTCCAGCCACACCCAGCGGCACGCAAGCAGGTGCCCAGGTGCCCCGGAATGAGACAGGCAGGACCCCAGCCTGCGATAGATAAGGGTGGTTTACTGCTCCCGCCCCCTGCCCGAGGCCGAAGTGAACACGGCCAGGCCCCGCTGTCCAGGGGGCACCACGGCCACCGCCGCCACCTCTCCACCGCCGCAGGTGGGCTTCTGGAAGTGGACTTCCAGGATGTCTCGCAGCTCTGGGCCGTCCAGGACGTCGGGGACACCCAGTACCAGCACCGAGCGGGGCACGGCCTGCCACTGGATCTGCGGAGGGATTGGAGCCTCAGGGGGAGGCTGAGGCAGGACAGTGCACGGGAGGAGGACAGGGGAGCGGGGCAATCGGCAGAGGAGGGTGCTCACCTCAGCCTTCTGGATGTCCCCGCTCATGTAGGGGGTGACTCTCAGGGGCACCTGCTGCCCACCCAGGGGCACCTGGAACTGGCCGACCTGACACAGGCGCTGGGCCACTGCCGGGACAGCGCGGGCGATCGGCACGGAGCCTCCCCCTTCCCGCCTCAGCCCCCCGGCCCCCAACCCGGGCCTCACCCCCCTCGTCGGCGAAGCCCAGCGCGGCGCCGCCCTGCAGCAGCTCACGGGTGTCCACGTCGCCGCCGCCATGCCGGGCCTTGCTGAAGAATAGCTCGAGCTTGTCCAGCAGCGTGTCCTCGGGCAGGGCCAGCCCCACCGGCAGCCCGCTCACCAGCACGCGCTCCCTGCGCGCCCCGCTGGACACCTGCACGGCGGTCACCATGGGCAGCTCCAGCGGCCGCACGCGCACCCGCAGGCGACACTCCTCCAGGTTCACCTGGTGCAGCTCCCGCTGCAGCACCTGCTCGGCCACTGTGGGGTGGGCGGGGTCAGTGCCGGGCCCCCCATCCCGGGCCCCCCACGGTCCCCCAGCCCACCTTTGGGGTCATCGAAGGTCACCAGGACAGAGCCTCCCGGGAGAGGACAGCAGATGCGCAGCTGGGAGACCGAGGACCCGGCCGCTTCCCGGCCCTGCTCAGTGCGGCCCCGGAACTCCAGCGGGACCTCGGGCACTGGGAACGGGACCTGTGGGCGGGTGGGGTGGGGGCTGGTGTCGGCTTCTGGCTTCCGGGGTTGACAGAAGGGGCCCAATCCGGCCGCTCAGGCAGCCCGTGCGGACGACGTGTGCACGATTCAGGCTGGGCCCCACCGCACACGGTTGACAAGCTGATGATGCAGCTGCTATTCTGTGTACTTTGGCTTTTCCGAGCCAGGGTCTCACTGTGCAGCCCAGGCTGCCCTGGAACTCACAGCGTTCCTCCTGCTTCAACCTCCCGAGTGCTGGATGACAGGTGTGCACCACCACACCTGGCCTCTTCTTTGCTGGGGAGGGATCCCAGGGCCTCCTGTGTGGGTTGAGTGCACCTCACCACCACACACAGGACCTGGCTGGCCCGGCCCAGGAGGAGCCACTTTCTAGATGAGCCAGCTGGGGTTGGGAGGGCCAGAGGAGCAGGCAACGGCAGCCCCCCCAGGAAACACCCGCTCTTCCACCAGGCCCAGCCCTCTCGCCTGACCTTAAGTTTGGGGGTGTCCCTGGCCTCCTTGTGCAGCTGCTGGAGCTCCTGCAGCCTCCTCTTCAGCCTGGCCTGGTCCTCCAGGAGGGCACAGACGGCCTGTGGGAGGGCAAGTGGGCAGGTGGGGCTGGGAAGATGAGGCCCAGCCGCCCCTCCGCCTGGGGTGGGCCTGGCTCTGTCCACCGGGCATGGTGTCCTCCTCCAGAGGCTCATGGGAGGCTGGAAGTGCCCTACGCAGCCAGGGCTGCTTCACTGTAGAGCCAGAGTTCAACAAACTCAGAAGCCAAGTGTGGCGCCTCCAGCCTGGAATTCTAGCACTCTGGGAGGCTGAGGCAGGCGAATCTCAAAGTCAAGCCCAGCCTGGGCAATTTAGAGAGACCTTGTTTTATTTTTTATTTTATTTTATTTATTTTTTGATACCGGGGAGGCAGGTGTGGTGCCACTGAATTAATCCCTGGCCCGAGACCCTGTTTTAAAATTTAAAAAGAGGCTGGAGGGCCAGGGATTTAGCTCAGTGGTTCCGCTGCTTGCCTCAAAAGCACAAGGGCCTGAGTTCGATCACCGGTACCAAAAAATAAAATAAAATAAAATAAAATAAAAAGAGACTGGGGATGTAGCTCAGTGTGAAGGCTCTGGGTCACTTCCAGGGCTGCAAGAGCAAAACAAACAAGCAACGGCACTAACAGACCTGACTGGGCAGCAGAAGGACCCAGGCAGGGCCCAGCGCCATGGTGGCCGAGGGGCAGGGGGAGTCGGGACCCCGTTACCACAGTGGGGAGGCCAGTAGGGCTGGCAGGGGACGTCGGAGCTGCCTGGACCACAGTGGGTGCGCTGCCTGAGCCGCGTCCCCGCCCCTTTCTTTAACTTTCTATTTTGAGACAGAGTCATGCTGAATTGCCCAGGCTGGCCTTACACTTTGTAATTCTCCTGACTCAGCCTCCCAAGTAGCTGGGATCACAGTGTGCACCACTGGGCCCTGAATTTGGGGGATGGAACCCCAGGCCTTGCGCTTGCTAGCATCTGCTGACTGCCAGGCTCGTCCTTTTCTGCTTGTGTGTGGTACTGGGTAATGAACCACGTGCCTCAGGCGTGTCAGGCAAGTGCTCTACTGCTTGACTACATCTTTGGCCCTTTACAATTTTTTTATTTTGGGGGCTGGGCATGGTGGCGCACCCCTGTCATCTCAGCACTCACCCTCGGGAGGCTGAGGCAGGAGGATTGCCATGTATTTCAAGCCACTCTGGGCTACACAGAGTTCAAGACCAGCCTGGACTACATACATAGTGAGACTCTGTCTCAAAAAACAAAAAGATTGGGGGCTTCGGGGGGGGGGATGGGGTAAAATAAAATTTATTAATTAGTTTATTTGTTAGGTACTGGGGATCAAACTTGGGTCCTTGTGTTTGTGCAGCAGGCGGCGAAACCACTGAGCTAAATCCCCGGCCCCAAAATATAATTTATTAAAGCAATCGTTTTTTTAAATTGAGGGCTAGAGATCTAGCTCAGTGGCACCATGCGTGGCAAGCACGAGGTCCTGAGCTAGGTCCTGGTGAGGGGTATTCTGAGACAAGGCCCTGCTGAATTGCTGATTGGCCCAGGCTGGGCTTGACTCTGTAATCCTCCTGCCTCAGCCTCCCAAGTAGCAGGGCCATGGGCACATTGCCACCACTGCAGGCTGAGCTAAGCCTTTTATATAGATGGTGCCACTGGATTCTCTGCCAGCCTAGAGGCAGATGTGTCTCCACCTACCTCACAGGTCCAACACTGCTCGCCTTGGGCCCCACCCTGCCGGCCAGGGCTTCCTGGGGACGAAGCTGGCTCAGAGTGGGAGGCCCTTCCCTGTCCCCAGCTTGTCCCTTGTCTGCCACTTTTACCAAGTGGCCTCAGCTGCCGTGACCTGGAGCTGGACCAGGGACACCACCAACGGCGCAGGCAGGAACAGTCCCAGCTCTGTCCGAGGGTACACCGGTACACCGGGGCTGGCAGAGGCCTCGCAGCTGCAGCCCGGAAGCTGCCAAACGGGGTCCCCTCCGACACCAGGGGCTGCCAGACAGACAGGACTCCACCCCGGTTCCCTCCATGTCCCCAGGGTCCAGAGTGTCCCTGGCTCACAGGGGTGTTCAGAAAATGTGTGCTGAACGAATGAAGTAAACAAATGAAAGGGCTGGAGCATGTCACAGAGGGTGCTGAAAACCTGTGTGAGCGCTGGGCATGGTGGTGCACACCTATGATCCCAGCACTGAGAAGCTGAGGCAGGAGGACTGCCACGAGTTCGAGGCCAGCCTGGGCTGCACAGTGAGACCCTGTCTCAAAAAAACCAAAAGAGAAAAGCAAGGTAAAGTAAAGCAAAGCCAAAGATGGCTAGGTTGTTTTTTTGGTACTGTGGATCAAACTCGGGACCTCATGCTTATGTTCCTTTCCCTTTAAATCTTGGTCTCACTGTATACTGTGTTTGAGAATCTAATTTCTGAGATTTTTTTTTCCACTGCCAGAGAGGATCTGGGCGAGTGCTCACCATGGAGAAACATCTCGGGCTCCCACAAAAAATATTTCTTAAGAAAAGGTTTAAGCAGAAAGTTTCAACTTGGTATCAACAGGAAATGGATAAACTAGAGAAGATCCCTGGAAAGAAACGAGGTGAAAGATGTGGTGTTTTTCTTTTGTTCTGCTTCAGGTTTTGGTGCTAGGAGTAGAACTCAGGGCCTCACAAATGCCAATTGCGCAGCCCGCCACTGAGCTGCACCCCAGGTCAGATGTGGTGTTTAAGACAGTTGGGAGGCTGAGGCAGGAGGGTGGCAAGATGAAGACCAGCCTGGACAACGTAGTGACTTAGAGAGACCCTGACCCTGTCTCTGAAGAAAAAAGGGGTGGGCGGGGCCGGTGCAAAGGCCCTGGGTTCGAAGTCCAGTACTGCAAGAGCTAAAGAGATCAGCCTGGGCTGGGGTCCAGCTCAGTGGCAGAGGCCTGGCGAAGCATGCCCAAGGCCCCGGTTCCAGCCCTAAACAAAGTGCAATCCAGCAGGGTCAGCAGGACAAACAGCGCAGGAACCCTGTGAAGCGAACACCCAGGCCCCGTGCTGGGCTCATCTGCGAACCTGAAAGCCACCCTGGGCCTGGGCCTGGACTCCAATCCCAGCACCAAAGACAAAGCGGTCCGAGTGACCGGGGCGGCTCCCAGGGCGCGGCAATGTGTGCTAATCCCCCGGTCCCCAGCTCAGAAGGCAGCAGACCGCAGGGAGGTTTAGCAATTTGGTGCCATTTGAGTCTGGCAGTTACAACACAGGCATGCATATCGAGGGCAAGGACCAGAGGTCGACCCACAGGTGTCCCCAACTGCAACGGCAGGAAAGCCAAGTCAGTGGAGAGTGAACTTGAACTCTGCTCCTCCTAGGCTATTGATAAGGAACACGTCCTCTCTTAGGACACCAGGAAGTCATGGGTCACAGGGGAAAGGATGCATACTGTCCGGGGACAGTGTGGCTGACATGATGTGATGTTTTCTGGCCTTTTGAGACAGTCTTTCTCACAGTCTGGGCTGGCTTTGGAGTCTTGGTAATATCCCTGCCTCAGCCTCCGGAGTGCCTGGGTCACACACGTGTGCCGCCACACCCAGTTTAAAAGACACCTTATTGAAGAATATTTAGTGACATGGAAAAATGCTCATAATAAGCCAAACGGCACTTTTCTCTTAAACAGTGCTGGGGATTGAACCCAGGGCCTTTGCACTGAGCTACATCCCCAGGCTTTTTTTCTGAGGTGGGCTCTCACCAAGTCATTAAACTGTCCTGATTACTCTTGGATCTGTGATCCCGCTGCCTCCGCCTCCCACAGTGGTGGGACTGCAAGCATGGCCTACCACATCCAGCTGCTTTTCAGGGACATCTTGGCTAAACTGCCCAGGGTGTTCTCAAGCTTTCGGCCTCCTGCCTCAGCCTCCCGTAGCTGGGATTATAGGTGTGTGTCACTACAACTGGCCTACCTAGTCTAATTTTCTTTTTTGGTACCAGGGATCGAACTTGGGTTCTTGAGCTTGCGAGGCAGAGGCAGGCGGCGGAACCACTGAGCTAAATCCCTGGCCCCCTAGTCTAATTTTCTTTTCCCCAAATTTAAAACGTACAATAATTCTTGTTGGTTTGTTTTTTTGGGGTTTTTTTTGGCACTGGGGATCAAACTGGGGTCCTTCGTACAGTAATTCTTATAGTATCACTTCTATAGTTTCTCTTCCCATCTGTGGGCCAATCACACTCCCCGGACAACCTGACTTACACAACCTGAACAAAGTGTGATTTGAAATTTTTTTTTGGTTGTGCTTGCCAAGCAGGCGTGGTGCCACTGAACTACATCCCTGGCTGAAACTTTTTGTGTTTTGAGGCAAGGTCTTGCTATGTAGTTCAGGTTGGCCTTGAACTCACTACATAAGTCACACTGGCCTGGATATTACGGCAATTCTCCTGCCTCAGCCTCCTGAGTGCTGGGATCACAGGCTGGTGACACCATGCCCAGCTTCCAATGACACTTGAGGGACACAGGAAACATTCCAAGGATAGACCCTTATTTGTGCTAGATAGGCAGGGTCACGCTGAGAAGCCTGGAGAGAGGGTGAGATCATTCATTCACTCAACAACATTGGTGAGCGGCCACTGTGCATCAGGCGCTGTGCTGGTCAGGGTCTGGGGACCCATCCTGAGTCCAGCTGAGTAGGGGCAGAGTAGGAGGGGCTTAGCTTCTGAGAAGACCCCTCTTCCTGCAGGCCCTGGAAGTTGGCTTAGCCAGGAGCTGAGATGGGGTGGGCTTCTGCCAGGAGAGATCGAGGCAGGGTGTCTGGAGCCCGAGCCTCTGATGAAAGCCTGGGTCCCTTCCCCAGACGCAGAAATCCCCAGCCTGCAGGGCGTGGTGGTGCACACCTGTGATCCCAGCTCTAGGAGGCTGAGACAGGAGGAGTCGAGGCCGTCTCAAAAACAACAAAATAAAACCAAGAGGCCCGGGGGATTTAGCTCAGTAGTGTCTCACCTGCCTAGCAAAAGTGCAAGGACCTGAGATTCAATTCCCAGTACAAATAAAAAAAAATCCCCAAGCTCAAGGCTTGCAGGTTATGAGAATTCTCATCTTGGAGACAGGGCAGGGGAGAGAGGACCCCCAGCCCCGGGCAGATGGGCCCCCAGGGAAAGCGCAGCTCCTGTCCCCCCCAGCCCGCGCCTGCCCACTCACGGCGTCGAGGGTCCCTGACGCTGGCTTGGGGTCCATGAGGAAGAGTGGAGGCAGCAGGTCAGATCAGCGATTCCTGCGGCCCGAGCGCTTCCACTTTCGCTTCTGTGAAACCGGCCCTGAGCCCGCCTCTGGGCGGGGCCTTCCCGCCCCTCTCAGCCGGGTCGCCAGCGCCCGGCTTCGGCTTCCGGCTTCGGCTTCCGGCTTCGCTCTAACACCTCCCCAGGGCCCCGGGATACACAGGCACCTGAAGTCGGTCAACTACGGTGAAACACGCCCGGGACGGTGAGGCTCCCAGCTGAGGGGCTCGAAGCTGTGCTCCGAGCCCAGCACCGCTCTGCCTCACGTGTCAACTGGAAAATCAAGCTTTGGTAGCAGGGCGGGGCAGGCCTAGCACTCCAGCACTCAGGAGGCCGAGGCACAAGGGTTCCAAGCTCAAGCCCAGCCCCCGGCAACTCGGCCAGACCTCTAATACAGGCCCGGGGGTAGTCAGTGCAGAGCCCTGCTCCGCCCCGTGGCACCGAGTAGTAGCGGGCAGGCGGACTCAGTCAGGGTTCAACTTGTCACATGAAGCACAGGGCATGCAGGCTGCCTGTGGCCTGGCGCAGCCCCGACTCCCCAGGTGCACTGAGACCGAAACCCTGGCAGGCAGCGGCCACCCCTGGCTCCATCAGTGAGGTCAGGCAGGCCAGGCTGCCCCAGGACCCCGAGCGAAGGGCTGCCCACTTGCCCTCTGCCATCGCCCACCTGCGCCATGGCTACAGAGGAGTACAGTGGCCCAGGCTATCCTGGGTGAAAGCCAGGGATGACCTGACCTCGGGAGGGGAAGCTGGGCTCACAAAACCAGGTTTAATCTCCCCACTTGGCCTGCCCCTCCGACTTGGGAGGAGGGCCCTCCTCTGGGGACACACGCAGCAGGCAGCCAGGGGCATTTTTGTTTTGGGTACTGGGGATCAAACTCTGGACCTTGTGCTTGCGTGGCAGGTGGTGGAACCACTGAGCTAAATCCCCAACCCATAGGCATTTTTAAAAAAAACTTTTTAATGATGGAAACAAAACACATCTAAAACCGAAGCTTCTGGAAAAACCACTTGTTCTTGCCTGTCTTGTATCTAGAAGGGAAAAGAAAAGAACAGTGAAGGGAAGGACCTTTCCGCCCCGGGACACCCACACTCCGACACCCCCACGCCCTCCTACCTCTCCTCGAACTTGACCTTGGCCTCCCGGCGGGCCTTGCGCTTCAGGGCCGGGTCTCTGAAGACGTCCTTGTTGACCACAGTCTTGTCCAAGGGGATGTCCACAGAGTACCTGGGAACAAGCGGGGCAGGGTCAGCCGGGGCCCCATGCAACCCAGGTCCTCCGAGGACACTGGCCTGGCCAGGGGCGACCCCACAAAGACCCATCGAGTGCCTTACCGAAGTCCTGGTGATATTCTTTAGAAATCCTCATTTTCATGCTTTTTCACATGGATTCAAACGGTTGAGAATCTCCCAACTCTCTCTTCTAGCTAAGACTCTCCAACCACAGCCCAGCAATAAATGCAGTCCCAGCCCTTGGGGTTCGGGAGCCTCTGCTCTTCACACCGTGTGGGGCAGTGCACGTGCCCCAGGACACCCCGAGCAGCATGCTTGAGGAACAAGGGCAGGGTCTGCTTGCTTCCAGCGTCCAACACTAGGATCTGTGTACCCTGGATCACTGCCCACCTCGGAGCTGCACCCCAGCTCTCCCCAGAGCCCAGGATGGGCTCAAATTTGCAGCACTCCTCCTGCCCCAGCCTCCCGAGTGAGAAAGAGAAAGCAGGGCAGACGAGCAGACCCTCGGCTGAGGGGGACGGAAGCCAAACGTGACCATCTCTTTCCGAAGAAATACACAGCACTCCTGTCCGATCCAGAAACACTCACCTTGTGGGCATGAGGTGATTGTAGTTATACACCTTCACGAAAGACTTGATCTTTGACCTCTTGGCGATTTTCTTCTTGCCCATGGCGGCTGTCACTTTGCGGGGATAGCGGTCAATTCCGGCCACTAGCGCGTGGCTGTAGGGGCGGTCGGAGGTGCCATCGTCGATGTTCTACGGCAGGAAGCATCACAGGTGTGAGCGCCCCAGGCCTCAGAGACACTGCTGCCACCAGACAAGAGGCCGCAGCCAGGCCAGACGTCCAGAGTAAGAGCCCGAGTTTACTCCCACCAGGCAGTGTGGAACGGGTTGGGGCAGATAAGAGGACAGGAACTGTCCCTCCAGCATCCGGCAGGAGCTGGAGCCAAAGACCGGGTCCTAGAAACTCATACCCGCTGGCCCCATCTTACTGCTAAGGAATTGAGGGCAGCGCCAGGACAGGGACACTGGCAGCCGAACGCCAGCGACCAGAATCGGCCAGGTGGGGTCCCCACATCAGCATCACCGGTGGTGTTCTGTGGCCAGAGCCCCAAACCATAGGGAGACAGCAAATAGTGAGGGTCTAAAATACTGCATACAGTGACCATTTCTTTTGGAGGAAAAAAGGTCCATGTAGCCCAGGCTGGCCTGGTACTCGTCGAGATCCTCCTGCCTCAGCCTCCCGAGTGCTGGGATGGCAGGCGTGTGCCACCACGGCCGACTGTGTCTCACCTGTTCCCGGCTGCTGCTCCCACCACCTGTCCGACCTCAGGCACAAAGCCCCGGCCCCTCCAGACCTCGGCCGCGGGAGAGCCACGCCGCGCACGGCCCAGGAGCCCTGCTCGACTCACAGGGCCTGTCTTCCCTCCTCCTCCCGCGGCCCCTGCCCCGATCGAGGCCCGGACCCCAGCCTGCCGCCCGCCGGGCCCCGGTACCTTCACGATGACGGCTTTGCGTCCAGAGTAGCGTCCGGCCAGGACCAGCACCACTTTGCCGGGTTTCATGAACTTGCCCATTTCTGCAGAGTAAGAAGGGGCCGCTCAGGACTCCGCGAGGCCCCAAGCCGCCCCCAGCCTGCGAGCAAGCCCAGGCGCAGGCCCGGAGCGTTGGGCTGCTCACTGTCGTCCTAGCCCAGCCCGCCCGTGGGAATCTGCTCGCAGAACAGGATCCGCTGGGAAACCCCAGGACACGTAGCGGCCGAACACACCCGGCAGCAGACCCCTCGATCCCGGATGGCGCCGGATTAGGAGACCTGACCGAGCCTCTACTCACCCACTGCACCAAACAGGACCTACAGCAGAAAGGAAGAAAATGTACTTCCGCTAACCTTTCACACCGCGGGTTTGCGTCACTTCCGGTCCCGCCCCTCAGCCCTCGGGCGCGGGGGTGTGTGGTGCTTAGGCTGTGTTGTGGACGGAAGAAGCTAACAAGCGGAAAGTAAAGCTTGGCAGGGCACGTATTTGAATCAAACTTTATTAGTAGTTGCAGCTGTAGTCCAGAGCAAAGGAGTCCAGTCTCCGGTCTTCGCAAGCGCAGAGAGGGTGTGTCTGCACGTGGGCTTTCAGCTTTGCTGTCTCTTTTTCCTTTTCCCTCCTCTGGCGCTAGGAGGGGGGCCACAGGCTAAATTTCCTTTTTTTTTTTTTTCCCCAGGGATCGAACTCAGGACCTTGAGCTGGCAAGGCAGGCGTGGTCCCACTGAGCTAAATCCCCGGCCCTAAAATTTACTTTTTCGCCCTGGAAGACGCAGGGAACAAAATAGGACGTTTAATGATGCTTGCCGTGTTCACTGTTAGCAAGGAGCGGAGGCGAAGATGAAACGCGGGCCTGGGCCTCCAACATTCAGCCTAGCAGTGTCCCAGCTGCCAGGCCAGGCTGCTCTGTTTACACTGATTTGACCCTCAGGAGGCTGCAGGACACAGGCGCTAGTCTGATCCTCGTTCTACAGCTGAATGTAGGGAGGTTTAGGCTGATCATAAAAGCCCAGGAGAGTAGGTGGCCAGGTTGGGACTCAGACCTCAGCCGTCCACTGAACAGCCCCGGCACGGTACCCGGCGCTGTAGTGAGCCCCGCAGCCCTTGGGTTATTTTCCTCCCATCTAGACAGGGAATTGCAGTTCAGAGGGGGACAGTTACCGACCTGAGATCGAGCCTACTCCCTCTCGTAGATGGATTCATCTGGGTCTGAACCCAAGTCTAGTAGGTACCCAAGTGAATTGCCTCCCGTCACTCACCGGGACGGTACTTCCTGCTGAGACCTTCGCATTGGTTTGGGAGGTCAGACGACACCCTTGACACCCTTAAAAATCTCTGGCTCACATTTGTGAACCCGGGGTGTCCTCCAAGTCCAAGAGGAAGACAGAGTATCTCATGGTTCTTGCTCTTCTGAACGTGTAAGGCCTAAATAGGTCTCATTTGGGCAAGATGTGGAAACATCTCCACGGGTTTTTTTAGTAATTTTCGGGGTTTTTTGATACTGGGGCTTGAACTTGGGACCTTGCACTTGGCCAGGCGAGCATCAGAACCACTGAGCTTGATCCCTGGCCCCTATTTTAGCTTTTTTGAGGTAGTGGGAATTGAACTCAGGACCTTGCCCCTGAGCTAAATCTCAGCCCTATTTTTTTTGAGACAGGGTCTCCCTATATATTTCAGGCCTTCCTTGAACTCACTTATCCTCCTGCCTCAGCCTCCTGAGTGCTGGGATCACAGGCGTGTGTCACCACACGCCTGGCTCTGTCCAATTCTTTTCTGCTGTTTGGAATAGGGCATTTGGAGGCAAAGGGACCTCAGTGAAGATCTACTCTGGCCTCTGAGTTCTAGAGCAGCAGGCAGAGTTGGTGGCACAGGAAGTCCCCAGTGCTCCTCCTGTGACCTTGCACTCCCCTGCACATCTCTGCCTCCATGATCTTCTCCCAGCACCTTCATCTGTTCCTCTTTTGCTCCTTCTTTGGAGAAAAACCCAGAAAGCTTGCAGTCACCTTGGGAGTGTGTGTTGCTAGGGATTGAACCCAGGGCCTCACACATTAGGCAAATGCTCTGCCACCAAGCTAAATCCCAGCACACACACACACCCACTTTTTCTTTGGATTGCCTGGGCTGGCCCTGAACCTTTGATCCTCCTGCCTCAGCCTCCCAAGCAGGTGGGTTAAACGTGTGCACTGCCGCGCCTGGCACCTTACAGCATACTTATACTGTGGACCCTGCAGCTCCGTGGGCTGTGGATCCACAAATAGTTTGTTTCATCGCTGCTCAGTGGTAGACTTGAGCTGACTCCCACACCAAGGACAGAGCTCTGTTTTCCTATACCCAGGTCTAGCAGGCAGCTGGGGTCTAGCTGCTGGCGGGATTGTCCCTGTGGCTACACCCTAGGGTTTTGCTAAGGTGGCAGAGCAATGCCCATCCCCCTGCCCCAGCCCAGAGCTCTGAACAGAAATTTCTGGCAATTATGTAGAAAATACTTTTCCCTCCTCAGAGAGGGTAAAATCGGGGGATGGGTAAAAGGGAGAAATGAACAGAAGGTCCTAGAAACAGCATCATGCAGTGAGGTATTGATAAGGACAGAGGCTTCAGACGCAGGCAGCTTGAGTTCAAATCCCTTCTCTTGGCATCATGGGAAGCTGGTAATCTAAGTAACTTCTCGGTCACTTGTTTCTGTAAAGTGGGGACAGACAAGAGGGTCACATCCTAGAAGGAATTAGGGTAACACAAAAACACTCCCCACTGTGCTGGCTGTTTTTTTGAGACAGGGTCTCACTCTGTAGCCCAGACTGGCCTTGAACTCATTGATCCTCCTGCCTCAGCCTTCTGGGTGCTGGGATTACAGGCAGGCGCCCCCACACCCGGCTTTTGTGCCAACTGTTTTCTTCAGTGCTGGGGACAGAACCTGAGACCTCAGGCAGTTGGAGCAGGTGCTCTACACCCCATGCTGTGCTCCTCCTGGCCCTAGGAGTCTGAATGCACAAGAGCTTTTTTGAGGGTTAGAAAAGGACAGGTCCAGGGTGAGCCCAGGGCTGTGCCTATGGCTTCATTTGGGCAAGATACCAGCCACCACCCTAAATGAGGGCCAGTCAAGTGGACCTCACGGTGCCAATTCCAAGAGCAGCACATGTGGCGGTAAACTCTTGTCAACCTGATCAGCTTGGGGGCCGCCTAGGGATCAGTGAAGCACACTTCTGGGTGCGTCTGGGTGTGCCATGGAGGTGTGACTTCAGGGACTCCATCTGGCCCCTGGACCCTCCTCTCTGGTACTGTCTCCTGCTCCGCTCTGCCAGGACTATTCGTTATGTTTTTGCCTTCTTGGAGCCAGCTGACCATGGACTGAATCTCCCACAGCCGTGGGCCAAATGAAGCCTCTGCTCCTTTAAGCTGAGGTGCCAGGTGCTGCATCCTGGCAACAGGAAAGAGACCATACAGGATGGGACTGCAGGCGAGAGCAAGATGGATGATGATGGCCACGGCACTTTGTAGTGGATCTGTTCAGGTAAAAACCCACACACGTGTGAGTGCACACGCACACGCACGCACACACACACACACACACACACACACACGGGGCACTACCATCAGGTCTGGGTGGATCCACAGTGGGGGAAGGGGGAAGTGGACAGTTCTGGCAGCCGTTTGGAGCTGGGTGAGACGAGGGATGAGGCCAGCGAGACAGGGGCAGCAGAGCCCAGCACGCTGCACAGAGGCTGCACAAAATACTGATTTTATTGGCAACCACAAACGTTTCTCTTCAGACTTCACAATTACTGTTTTTGTGGTGCTGGGGACTGGATCAGGCAAGCGCTCTGCCCCTGAGCGGTGTCGCCGGACCCTTACATTTACCCTGCCTTACAGGGAAATTGGACCGGTTCTAACAAAAAATCAGCAGTGCATCTTAAGTAACATGCTGCTGATCACAATTTAAGTGAAAATGTACAACATCAAGGTGCAGAGACCAAGTGCAGCTGGCGATCTCACCTGTGACTGGCGCGATGCTGAGCCCGCAGTGTCTCCCATCGCCGGCCAGGGCTGGAACAGAGCCTGCATGAGCTGAGTGAGGCGTGAGGACTCAGGGTCCACAGTGACATTAGGCCGTTAGCCACAGGGACCCGCTGCAGCTCCTGTCCCCACCGCAGGACCCGCCAGGCCATCAGACCTATGCCATATCTGGCCCCAGAACAAGTGGTGCCAGTGGCTGATGCCGGGGATGCACACCACGGAACCTGAGCACTCTGGAGTGAGGACGCGCTAAGCAGTGGTCTTGGTTCTACCTGCTGTGTGTCCCGTCTGGATGCACACAGAGGACACAGGATCAGACATGAGCTCTCATGCCCTCGACACTGTCACCTGCACTGTGAGGGCTCCCTTGTTCCCACCTCTCCAAGGAAAAGGCCCACAGTAAAATCATCTCCCAGGGAAATGTGGTCCTGACAGCCGCATTCAGAGAGCAGGGCCTGGCCTGACACTGGCTGGAGGGAAGAGGAATCGGCATTCCACAGGGGCTTCCAGCTCTGGCCCTGGGACCCCTGACTGTCTCCCTTGAGGGATGGGTGCTCAGAGCCACTATCAGGCACCTCGGGGCCTCAGGACCAGAAGCTCAGTCCCACGGTGACTGCCACAAAGACCCAAGTCTCTAAAACACAGTGGTGCACACGAGGCTGGGCAGAAGCTGTGCCCGAAACGGATTCCCGAGACACAGGCTCAGAAGGCCCAGGCCCAGGCGTGCGCGTGTTCGCACGCTGGGGTGGAAGCTGTTACTCACAGGGCTCTGTGCCTCGCAGCACTGCCCCTCCTTGGACTTTCTCACAAGAGGGTCCCGGCGCAGCCGAGTGGGAGGGCCAGGCAGGGCGGGGCCTCAGCCTGGGTCCTCAGAAGGCATCCTTGATGTTCTTGAGCTGGCGCACGGCCAGGTCCACAGGGAGGCTGAACCTGAGGCTGCTGAGGCGGCTGAGCAGCGTGAGGGCACTCTCGAAGCCTGTGCGGGCCATGTAGCTCCAGGGCTGGTAGTGCAGCTCCAGGAGGGGCCCCGACTTGCAGATGAGGTTCACCCAGGACACCAGGCGCTGCTCGTTGAGCGCCAAGCACACCAGCGCCTTCAGCTCGGAGTCCGCACTGCGCTTAAAGGGGTCGTGTTCAGTCAGCACCAGGTGGATGGCACTCAGCAGGCTCTGCTTGGGGGTCGCCACGGCACCACCCCCCACAGGCAGGGCAAAGGCCTGGGACAGCTTGCGGGCTGGGGACTCCACATAGGCGCGGCCGTTCTTGGCATGGTAGTACTTTACGAAGAGCTCCCAGGGATGCATGGCCTCGGGGCCCGAGGAGAAGGCTGGCAGCAGGCAGGCGAGCGGCGCCAGGACCAGGCTCACCCCGGGGGACGCAGCGTGCAGCCCGTGGGCCAGCAGGTCCCGCACGGCCACCGTCAGCTCCTTCCGCACTGCCGTGGTCAGCTCATCCCCGGCCCCTGGGGACGCGTCCCGGAGTGGCGCAGAGGTGACCACGTGGTCCTGCGGCTGGTGCCGCAGGGCCAGCTGCTTCACTTTGTCCACCGCCGCCTCCAGGCGCCTCAGCAGAGGGGTGTAGTCCCTGTCGGCCTGGCCCCTCTGCCACAGGCCAGGCGGGATCTGTCCTGTGGTGCAGCCAAACTGGCTCACAGCAAAGATCTGCAGCACGGCCAGCGCACGGCGCATCAGGTGCAGCCCCGACTCCCGGGTGTGCTTCACATCCTCCACCTTTGCTGTTTGGAAAAGACAGTGGCTCATCAGTAAGGAGCCCTCTGGGTCTCGCTGCGTATTCCAGGCTGGCCTCGAACTTGGCAGTGATCCTCCAGCCTCACCCTCCCAAGCGCTGGGATCGGGATCGCAGGTGTGCATCACCACGCCCGGCAGAGATGAGCTTTGCTTCTGCCCCACAACACAGACACTACAGAAGGCAGGGACCACCCAGCCTGGAGCTGGACTTTTCTTTTTGTTAATCACACCAGCTGCACTGAGACAACTCACACACCACACAAGGCACGTCCCCAAAGTGCAGGACCCAGCCACACCCACCCTAGTGGTGTGGGGCAGAGCTGTGCAGCCCTCACCGCAGTCTGGTCTACAGTATCTTTACCATCACCCCACGAAGCCCTGTAACACTAGCATGTTCTGCTCTGCAGACCCAAGCAAGCGCCGATGTGCTTCTGTCTCGCCTGGCCTCAGCGCCCCACTCACCTGTGCTGCTTCCTGGGGGGGCCTGGCCGCCGCCGGGCCCACTGGAGCCGCCTGCTGTCCTGCCGCTGGCCTTGCACGCACAGGGTCTGCCGCCTGCTTGCAAGGGGTTTCCTGCTTCATCTGCAAATAGGAGTTGCGGGAGGGGAGACATCAGGGCACCCCAACCAGCAGGAAGTCTACACACCCTTCCTGCCTATCACCAGGAAATGAGGACTGGCACCTGGCTGGTAAGTATTTACCAGGTAAACGAAGCACAAATCACTGTTTTATAGGTGAGCAGATGAGCCGGGAATTTGGCTCAGTGGTTTCACCGCCTGCCTTGCAAGCACAAGGGCCCGAGTTCGAGCCCTGGTACCAATCAATCAATAAATAAAGATGAGCAGAGCGAGACTCGCGCTTACCAGCCTACCCAAGGACAGGAAGCTGGCAAGCGGCCAGGCTGGGATTTTAACTCTGCTCCCAAACCCTGAGCTCTTCCTGCTCCGCCATTCGGACCAGTGCCTTTGGGTCTCAGGGCTCAGCTGGGCAGAAGCAGGACCCCACACCCGCACCCTCCTCCCGCCCGCCGTGACCTTGGATGAAGCTGATGAACATCTCCAGGTCTCGGATCTGGGTCTTCAGCTGCTCCACCAGCTGCTCCTTCACTCGGGCTGGGCTCACCATCTGCGTCACAGCCGCGTCCACACGCTGGCGGAGCTCCTCGGTGGACAGTGAGCTGAGGTCCTCGTTCAGGTTCATGTCCAGCTTCTTTATCAGCTCGTCTATGATCACCTGCCAAGACGACAGCCGTGAGCACACCTCTGGGATTTCCAAGGAGATAGTGGGGAGAAGCTTTCTTCTTCTTCTGTTTTTTTTTTTGAGACAGCCCAAACTTGTTATCCTCCTGCCTCAGCCTCCCAAGTCCTAGGGCTACAAGTGTGTGCCAGCCTGGGTTTGTTTTTTTTTAAAAAAAAAACAACAGGGTCTCATTAAATTGCCCAGGCTGCCCTTGAACTTGCCATTCTCCTGCCCAATCTCCTGAGCAGCTGGGATCACAGGCATGCAGCACTGTACTCCGCTGCAAGGGACGTCACCCAGGCTTCTGCTCTTCTCGCGGGGAACAGGAGCCCTCCATTCCCCTCTGAGAGAAATCACTGCTCTCCATGCAAGTTTTTATACTGGGCTACTCAGCTTTCATTTGGGGACACTGTGAATGATCCACAGTGCCTGACAATCTAGAAAGCCTCAGATTGACTTTCGCTAAAAAGGTTCCAAGAGAACCCATGTTGGAAGGCCAGCCTTTAACTCCTGGGCTCCAGTGAGCCTCCTGCCTCAGCCTCCTGAATAGCTGGAACTACAGCATACCCCACTGCAGCCAGCCAGAACGCCTTCCTGCCTTCTGGTCCTCTATCTCTTCTCACCCCACTCCAGACAACTAAAGGAAAATCTACACAGCATCAAGGCACACTGCAGCCAAAATATCCCAGGGACGACAGGGCCTGGATAACGCGTTTCCCACGTGTGAATGAAACCTCCCCGAGAGCCGGGCCAGTCAATGGCTTCTCTGAGGCCTCTGGGGAAGGGCTGGTGCTGCCTCTGTCGCTCACCCGCTGCCTCTCCAGGACCATGGCCTGCGGCAGAGAGTCGTAGCTGCCCTCCTGGTAGGCAAATGTCTCCAGGTCATCCAGCTGGTTCTTAAGCTGCAGGATCAGCTCCCTCTGCTTCTCCCGCTGGATTTCCAGGCGCTGCCGTCTCTCCTGCTCACTCTGAGAAAAGAGATGGGTCTGTTTACAGAGCAGGCAGCTCGGGCACATTAAGAACCGTCTCTGGCTGGAGTGGAGCCCAGTGGTGGAGGGCTTGCCTAGCATGCCAACAGTCCTGGGTTCAATCCCAGCACCAGACATGCGGACAAAATGCTCAAGGCGGTGATGATGGTGAAATACTGTTTCCAGATCGCCCAGACAAAACCCTCCACTCATGAGATAGGTTCAAGAGTAATGATTTTGTTTTTGGTACCGGGGATCAAACTCAGGACCTTGTGCTTCAAGGCAGGCGCAGAGCCACTGAGCTAAATCCCCAGCTCCTGTTTTTGGTTTTTTGAGACAGGATCTCTCTATGTAGTTCAGGCTGGCCTTGAACTCACTATGGAGCCCAGGCTGGCTTCGAACTCGAAGTGATCCTCCTGCCTCAGCCCCGAGTGCTGGGATTACAAACATGCGCCACCACGCCTGCTGAATGGCGATTTCTTACATGTATGTTTTCTTTAAGAAAACATTTGTCCTTCATTGGGAATTGGGTCTAAATACAACGGGGCCTTTTGTTAAGTGTTTTCTGCTTTTTTCAAAGGTCTAGTTAGGCTAGAGAAAACTGATCTTGGCCAAACAGCCTCCCAGAAATGAAAGACCGCACCCGCTCCCTCTCAGTACTTTGCATGACTGCATTTGAAACTGTAAGTTTATATAGTATTAAACTTAACCTTAAAAAGGTACTTACCAAGCCCTCCAGAGGTAAGGTATGAGAGAGAACAAACAAAACACAGCAAGTTAACTTTCTGTTCATTTGTATCTAAAAAGCAACCATATGGCTTTAGTTTTGCTCTGCATAGAAACAGTCCTCTCTTAGGATGCCCCCTCAGGCCCCTCAGAGTGTCAGGTTTTTCTTGGAACCCCGTCTCTGTTCTCCACCCAGTAAGGGCCTGGGTCTCTGTTACAGGGTCCCCCACTTTCTGTGGGTGCGCATGAATCACTTCCCCCTCTGCACTTGTACACTTCCACCCAGACAGGTCCCACCACAGTATGTTTTTGATTCTGTCTCCACCAGTGATCAACTACTCAAGTACCTGGCCTTGACCTTGAGTCCCCAATGCTCAGGGTAGTGCCTGGCACAGGCCAGCTCTCAGGACATATTTGTTCTGTGATACTGAACTAGATTAGGTACCAAATGACAAATTTCAAATGCTGAACTCTGACCTGAGGAAGTTATCTAGCTAGCCCAAGGACAGAGAACTGGGGAAAGTCTTGGTTTTTGTTTTCTTTGTAACCCCCCCCAACCATAAACCCTGATTCTGTTTCCCTGAAGACTCCTGAACTGTCACTTGTGATGGTGGCTAGAGTTCGAGGGACAAGCCCAATAGGAGGAAGAACAGATGCCATTCCCAGTACGAACTGAGCTAAGGGAAAGCACTCTGTTATGGAAGTGGGGAGGGGGGTAAAAGCTACGGAGAAGATTCAGTGCTATTTTTTCTTTTTAAAGCATTACACTAGGCTGGGGATTTAGCTCAGTGGTGCCACCACCTGCCTTGCAAGTAGGAGGTCCCGAGTTCGATCCCCAGTACCAAAAAAAAAAAAGCATTACACTGTTTCTGAAAGTGAAAATGAATTACAAAAAAACCCAAAAAGCAAAACAAAAACAAAAACAAAAAAACAACCAAAAACAGTGCCACATCCACACAGAACCTTTGGTGCTGACTGCTCCTGAGCAGAGCCTGCCCACTGTAATTCCATGGCTTCTAGCTTTTGTTTTTTGTTTTCTGAGACAAGGTCTCGCTATGTAGTTCTTGGTGCCCTTGAATTCACTATGGAGCCCGGGCTGGCCTGGAACTCATGGCCATCCTCCTGCCTCAGCCTCCTGAATGGTGGGATTATAGGTGTGCACCACCACAGGGGACGACGGTTTCTATCTTTAAGTGTGGCCATTTGAAGTGGCTGTTCCTGTGGGAGGCCTTGGGTCTATGGAGAGAAGGGTGGAAAAGTAAACACAGGGTTGCTCCGGAGCAGCTCAGATTGGAATAAACACATGGTATCTGCTATTGATACATTTTCTCTGCTAAAACCACCTGGAGGGAGAAGAAGGCCTCGTGTGGGTTGTAACTTGGAAGAATGAAAATGTGAAAAGCACCAAGTCTCAATCTCACAAGTTACCCACACTGTGCACTTCTGGGATTCAAAGCCTATAAAGAAACAACTTCTTGATGTGGTACACAGAGTTTCACTATGGTTAGGAAATTCATACAATCAGGAGTCGCAGACCTTTTGACCATGACAGACCATGACCTAAGAGACCATGTTGACCGCCAAAATTTTGGCTCAGGTAAGAGAACATAAAGATTTAAAGGCTGCCCAGATTCTAGGAAAGCGTGAGAATTGACTGAAATTTTCACGGGTTCCAACTCACTTTCCTTTCACTTGCCAATTCTCCTCATCAGCAAAAGTGCACAGCTGGGGGAGGGCGTGCTCAGGGGCAGGGTGCCGGCTTAGCACCCTTATCAGGTGCAAGGCCTAGGGTTCCATCCTCACACGGGAAGTGCTAAGGACCTAGAACGTGATGTGGCGTGCGGCAAATAAACCGGAGTAGCACGGTTTCCGTCGCCTTTTGGGGGGGGACCGCGGATCGAACTCGGGACCTTGCGCTGGCGAGTCAGCCGGCGGCACCATTGAGCTAACTCCCCAGCCCTCCGTCGTCGTCTTTTTTTTTTCTTTTTTTTGGTACCGGGGCTGGAACTCGGGGCCCTCGCGCTTGCGCAGCAGGTGGCGAAACCACTGAGCTAAATCCCCAGCCCCCATCGTCTTCTTGATGCTCAACTGGCTTCCTGCTCCTCACGTCCTCACTCGGCGTGCACGTTTTCCACGCCTCAGGTCACCCATCCTGCACGCAGGTTCCCAGGCCTCTCTGTCCACTTGTCCCCTGTCTATCTCGGACACACACAAGTCCATCCAGCCGGTGGCTTCTGTCATCTGCACCTCTGTCCCCAACCCCGCCGCTCACCTGGCTCTCGCCCCGCACCCGCGGCCGCTGCCCGGGTGGCCCGTCGCCCTCATAGTCCTCGTCGCAGGTGGCGTCCCTGGGCCCCTCGTCCCCCAGCACGTGCGGGCAGCCGCGGAAGGCGAAGTCCTCGAGCTCGCGCAGGAGGCGCTGCTGCTCGGCCGGCGCCCCGCGCACCACCTGACGCAGGCGGAACTGCACCTGAGCGAAGTGCGAGGACAGCGCGAGGAGCGCCGAGTCCAGCCGCCGCCGCTCGGCCCGCAGCCGCCGCAACGCCCGGGTCGGCGAGCCTGGGGGAGACCCCGGGGCCGTCCCGGACTCCTCAGCCGCCTCCGAGAACGCGGCCGTCCCGGACCCGGCCTCGGCCACCGCCCCCACCGGGGCCCAGCGGACTGCCTCGCACGGCGGTGGCGACTCCTCTTCTTCCTCCTCTGCGTCCTTCGCCTTGGACTCAGCGGCCGCCGCCGTCACCCGTCCCGGGGCAGCTCGCATGGCCGCCATCTTCCCGGAAGCGCCGCCTCATGGGGGGGGCGCAAGGGGGCGCACCCTCGCTGCCATGGCAACAGCGCGCGGGGAGGGCGGGAGTCTGGGGCGGGACTTCCGGGAGGACGTCCTCGGGGGCGGCTCCCCGGAGCCTTCGTCCTGGCCAATCATCTGTTGTTGAGCGGCTGCTGTGAATTGAGCACGGGATGCTCAGCCGTGGAGAAGCCGCGAATGCGGCCGGGGGCGAGTCGTTCGTTCGCCCCCGAGGGATCTCCCCTCATCTGAGCGCCTCTGGAGGCCCCGCGAGCTGCAGATGCTGGGCTGAGCTCTCCCGGCTCCCATCCCCATGCAGATCCTGGGCTGCCGCGCCTCGTCCCTTCTTCGCTCCCTTCCCTCAGCCATATAAGGAGCGACAGCTGCCAGGGCGGCCCCAGGATCTAAAGATAGCGGCCAGGCCCGGGACTCCAGACGCCACCGGGCAGCAGGAGTCGCCATGGCACGGTGAGAGGTTCGGGGGCCCCACCCCGCCCCGGACTGTCCCTGCCCCAGTTCTGCGCACTGCAAGCCCCGTGGGAGCCCTGGACACCCGGGCTCTGACTGGGCCGAGGGGGAGAGACGCGAGTGCTCCCCTAATTTCCTACTTCCCGCCCCCAAGCCTGGCACCTTGGATTCCCCCGGGCTCACCCACCCCACCTCCACGCTCCTGGCGCTCCCTTCCCTCTCCCTCTCCCCACCGAGTGACGCTTTGACAGACTACCGTCGTGCCCTCCTCAGGCAGCACGCGCGGACCTTGTGGTACGACAGGCCCAAGTACGTGTTCATGGAGTTCTGCGTGGAGGACAGCACGGACGTGCACGTGGTCCTCGAGGACCACCGCGTGGTGTTCAGGTAGCGCCTGCCCTCGGGCCCGGCTCCCCGGACGCCCTTCTCCAGCGCGGTCGCAGCGTTGACATCGTCTCGGTTTCATTGCCTCCGCAGCTGCAAGAACGGCGATGGGGTGGAGCTGTGCAACGAGATTGAGTTCTACGCCAAGGTGAACTCCAAGGTGAGGGGTGCGCGCAGGCTGCCCGGGGCTCTGGAGATCACCCCAAAACCCAGACGCTGAGCACGAGGCTCTGTCTGCAGGACTCCCAGGATAAACGCTCTGGCCGCTCTGTAACTTGTTTTGTGAGGAAATGGAAGGAGAAGGTGGCCTGGCCGCGGCTCACCAAGGAGGATATCAAGGTGAGGGCAGCGGGGGTGCTGGGCTTTCTGTGTCTGTCCACAGGCTCAGCGACCTGAGTCAGAGCCGCGACGGCCCTGCCTCCTCTCCGGCCAGTATCAACTCACTAGCTTCTGCCTATTTGACGTTTTAAATACTGTTAGTATTTTCTGGTACGGGGGTTTGAACCCAGGGTTTTCACACTGAGCTGCATCCCATCCCTTATTTTTTGAGATACGGTGTCATTGAGTTGCTAAGCTGCCCAGGCTGGGCTGGAAGTTGTGATCCTCCTGCCTCAGCCTCCCAGAGTAGGCACACACCCGCCTGTGAACTCCTAAATATTCTTTTTTTTTTGGTATTGGGGATCGAACTCATGACCTTGTGCGTGCCCAGCTGGCATGGTGCTGCTGAGCTACATCCCTGGCTCTCCTAAATGTTCTTGAGTGCATCCCTTCCTTTCTTCCTGGCTCAGACTTCATCCCTCTGGGTTTGTTGGGAGGTTTGTTGCATATTTTCGGCCCCACACCCTAACTCTCTTCTGCATTGTCTTTCACGGTCTAAGACACACACCGCCCTTGTCACGCTCCCACATAGGACTCCCGAAGTGGCTTCTCCCCTCCTGTGGAAGTAGGGTGCCTGCTGGCCAAATGTGGCTTTCATGTTCCTTTGAGCAGGCTTCACAATATGAAAATTGTTTTGATTGGTTACTGACATTTACCAGTTTTTTTTGTTGTTCTTGTTGTTGTTGTTTTGGTACCGGGGGTCGAACTCAGGTCCTTGCGTTTGCGCAGCAGGTAGTGAAACCACTGAGCTAAATCCCCGGCCCTTTTTTTTTTTGGTACCGGGGATCGAACTCAGGACCTTGTGCTTTCCAGGCAGGTGGCAGAACCACTGAGCTAAATCTCTGGCCCACGTTTACAGTTTTTGATTTGTTGCTGACATTTAAAAATGTGGATATTTGCCTGTAATCCCAAGTGCTCAGGAGGCTGAGGCAAGAGGATCACAAATTCAAGACCAGCCTGGGAAACTTAGTAAGACCCTGTCTTAAAAGATAAAAAGGCCTGGAGATGTTGACCAGTGTTCAAGTGCTTGCCTAGCATGCTCAAAGCCATGGGGCCAATCCTCCTTACTGCCAAAAGAAAGTGGATATTTTGTCTACAAATGCAGATTCTTAACTGCTTTGAGAACTGGGAGGACCTGGCCATCCCACTGTAAATCCCCAGAGCCTGAATGGGGTGTGCGTTCTGCCCCCGTTTTCTCTTCTTCATTGCCTCCTGAGCTGCTTCCGCCACTCCTGGGGTGGACCCTACGTGCTCCACTCAGCAGCACCCGCAGCCTGGTCTGGCCCCCAGGAACGCAGCTCATTGTCTTGGGCGGACGTGGCTGACTCCCAGCGGCTTCAGGACCCGATCATTTCCAGATATGTTGGCTCCCCCTTCCATCTGCTCCTGGGAGGCAGGGCCCTGTGTCTCTCCAGCCACTGTTCCTGACCCTGAGCCTGACACCTGGAGCCTGGAGAGCCGGGACAGAGGCACGGGCGGAGTCCCCTCCACCACCGTCCTCTTCCCCGCCTGCCCCCCACACCCTCCCCAGCCGCCTGCCCCTGCCTGCGACTCTGCTTCTTCCCGCAGCCGGTGTGGCTGTCCATGGACTACGACAACTGGAGAGATTGGGAAGGGGACGAAGAGGGGGAGCTGGCGCAGGTGGAGCATTATGCGGAGGTGAGCTGCAGGCGCCTGTGGCACCGCCCAGTGCCCTTCTGTGTCCTGGCAGTGTCTCTCCGCCCACGGGCAGACTGCTCCTTGGCGTGAGTGCTCTGCATGTTCTGTGGACTGTTTCGGTTTTGGGTTTTGGGTTTTGGGGGTTTTTTTGTTTGTATGTTTTTTGAGACAAGGTCTTGCTCTGCAGTCCAGGTTGGCCTTGAACTCATGGCAGTCCTCCTGCCTCAACCTCCCCAGTGCTGGGGTTACAGGTGTGCGCCACTGTGCCTGGCTCTGCCCTTTCTTGTGACCTTTCTCTCTCCCACTAGCTTTTGCAGAAGGTCAGCACCAAGAGACTGCCCCCTGCCATGGATGACCTGGATGTAAGTAGAGCCTTCCCCTTCCCCGAGTCTCCTGTGGGCCTTCCAGGGAGCACCCGAGGGCTGAGGGGAGGCTCAGTGGTAGAGCACTTGCTTAGCCTGGGTGAGGTCCTGGGTTCCAGCTCCTCAAAAACAAGAGCAAAACGAATAGGACAAATGCAGATGCTCTAGAAAGCACCCATCCCAGCCTATGGCCCCTAGTAGTTCTCAGTTCATGGGCACAAATCTGAATTTGACACCCGAGGTTGAGTATTCTTCTAGCTTTAAGATATCCCAGTGAGGGCAGGTGTGGTGGTGCACACCTGTAATCCCAGCACCTGGAAAGCTGAGGCAGGAGGATCTCCAGGAGCTTGAGTACAGCCTTGACTACAGAGTTCGACCCTGTATCAAAAAATGAAGGCTGGGGATTTAGCTCACTGGTCCTGCCTCCTGCCTTGTAAGCCCAAGGACCCGAGTTCAATCCCCGGTACCAAAAAAAAAGAAAACAAAACAAGACCCCAAAACCCCAACAAGACTCCTTCCTCCCTTCCCTCTTCCCCTCTGGTCCTCCCTCCAAGAGCAGCTGGCCTTTTCAGCGTCCTCATGGTGTGGAACGGTGCAGTCACTGGAATCCAGAGACCAGGGGTGCACAGCACAGGGCTGGTGCTGACTTTGAGGGCCGGCAGCTTGCTTTATCATCTACAGTTAAATCCTCGCCTGCTTCCTCCTCACGAATGGAGTTTAGAAAGTCACACTGGGGCCAGGGATTTAGCTCAGTGGTTCTACTGCCTGCCTCGAAAGCACAAGGTCCTGAGTTCGGTCCCCAGTACCAAAAAAAAAAAGTCACACTGGAAAGCTGGTGGGTGGGAACGCGCGGCCTGTGTAGGCACTGTAGGTGCTCTGTCCCCTATCTGTCTCCTCAGGATGACTCGGATGGCGATGTCCTGACCAGCAGTGGACTCTGAGCCCGCAGCGCTGGGAGGAGGCCTTGGTGCCTCTGCTGGCCTGAGAGCCATGGTCTGACTTCGGCCTGCTCTGAGTGGCGCTCATGGAGCTCAGGTCTGGCCTTCCTGGAAGCTCTTCCTTAGCGCTCCCCTCCCTTCCCCTCCCCTCCCGCTCAGCGTTTTCTAGTCTTGACCTGGCTGCTGTGTCTGGTGCCTGGAGAGCGAGGAGCAGACTGAGGGCGGCCAGCCTCCTGCCAACGGATGTGAGATCTCTGGGGTGCTTGAGTGTGTGTGTGCAAAAGCCAAAGAGGAAGCATAGATGACTGTAGATCTGTGGGACTGCCCTCTGCCCCTTCCCTCCATGCAGCTCCCTGCAGGGCTCCTCTGGGGTGCAGCAGGGCTGCCAGGAGCCACAGCAGGGTGCTGTGCTGCCGGTCCCCAGAGCCAGCAGCCAGCTTCTTGCTGGCTCCAGACAGGAGGCTCTTTTCTACTTCCAAAACTAATCGTTACTCAGCTAATGTCTGTCTCTTACTCTCCCATTGGGCGGCTACTTCATTCAGCTACAGAGGTTTTGGTTTAGGGTTGTTTTGGCGGCTGTGATGGGGAAAATAACTCCCACCTGTTAGATGTCAGCGATCCCGAGTGTGTGCTCTCACAACATCCGGGAATGAAACTGCAATCAAAGGCAGAAGTTAGAAGAGTTTTATTGGCAATGAGGGGAAGCAGAACAGACCCTGGATTTCCGGGAGGGGCCCCGAGTGGGTGGCCACAGAGGCTCACTATGGGGTGATTTACACAGCAAGGTCACAGTGTGGGGCAGAGCACAGTCAGCCTGCAGGGTGACAAGGACGCTAATGCTGATCAAATGGGAGAGGAGCCTCGCGGTGGGGTGCCTGGGAAGGACAGACCTTCAGGGCAGGGAGGGAGCAGGTCCTCACCCATGCGTCTGGTCTGTGGCCAGCTGGGTCTCTGGACCGGGTGGTGCTGTTCACAGCAGAGCCTTGGGCTGCGGCTCATCTCTAGGGAAGCTCACGGGCCTGGCTGTGGGTCTCTGCCTGTAGCCTGGCCCTCTTCAAATGCACCTCCAGCCACAATCCTGATGTCCTCATCTATTGCTGACTTCCTCCAGGGCCAGGTCCCTCTCTGACTGTTAGTTTCTCTCTAACTTAGCTGTCTGTAATGGCACTGGGGGTTGAACCCGGGGGTGCCGCGCTGCATCCCTAGCCCCCCCTTTTTTACCATTCTAAACATATACATATATTTGAGTATATGTGTGCATACATACATAGACATACACACAAACATATACACATAGGTACGTATGTAGTGATGTGCCTCGCAGAGATGGTCAGGGAATGATGGGCCACGTGAACAATGGTAGCCGCATGAGATTACACTGCCTATCATGGCCAGCTTAGTTTCAGCACACTGTAGGTTATTTGCACAATGATGAAATTGCCTAATGATGCACCCCTCAACATAACCCTCTTGTTGAACATTATGTGATTGTATTAAGTTCTCTGTACATTAATCGTTGTTAACAAAACTAACAAGGCCCCTAAAGTCACTGACTAATAAACAGTGAAGTAGTGAGAACCTAATGAGTCTGGCTCCAGAGCCCATGCGTATGACCCTATACTATGCCATACTGGCGAAAAGCATGATGTGGTGGGTTTGAGCAAAGCTACATATTGTGGCATTCTGAGACGGAGCAGGGGCACCACTGACAATACTGTACACCTATGGAGGTGTCTCCTGCAGTTGGGGAATGCGGTGGCCCTGCTGGGAGCCCTGGAGTGAGTCTGGACCCCAGGCCCTTTTAAATGTTGAGGCAGGGTCTCACAAAGTTGCAATGGCTGCCTTGAGCTTGTCATCTGCCCCAGCCCCTGGAGTAGCTGGCTAATCACAGTCTTTTGTATACATTAGGCACTCAAAAAATGTTGGTAGGCCAGGTATGGCAGTGCACACCTGGAGTCCCAGCTATTCCAGGGTCCAAGGCAGAATTCAAGCCCAACTTGGGCAATTTAATGATTTAAAAGACTGTCTCAAAAATATATTTTAAAAAAGGCTTGGGGATGTAGCTCAGTGCAAAGGCCCTGAGTTCAATCCCCAGTAAGCACTGCAAAAAAAAAAAAAAAAAAAAGTTTGTGGCCAGGCATGGTGGCAAACGTCCCTAATCTGAAAATCCAAAATCTGAAATGCTTTGAAATAGAGTATTTTTTTTTTTTGGTATCGGGGATTGAACTTGGGACCTTGGGCTTGCAAGGCAGGTGCCGGAACCACTGAGCTAAATCCCCAGCCCAAAACAGTATTTTTATTTTTATTTTGTTACTGGGCATTGAACTCAGTGCCTTCACATTGAGCTATATATCCAGCCCATTTTTTAGCTGATCCTCCTGCCTCAGCCTCCTGAGTGCTGAAAAACAGGCATGCACCACCACACCCAGTTTGGCACTGAATTATGTCCCTGGGCCCCAAGTTGCTCCTTGATGAAGCTATCAAGTGTCACTCCCACCAATTATGAGAGCGTTCCATTCTCCTAAGCCTCTTAGATACCTGGCAAGATAATATTACTTGGTGTAGTTTGTATTTTTATATCATTATGGGATTGCATGTGACTTTTATTAGGGAGTCCTCCTGTTTAGTGTGTTCTAGCAATGTCTTTTGATCATTTTGCTATTGACATTAATTCTTAAACTGTAACTTTTCTTTTTTTTGGTATTGGGGATTGAACTCAGGACTTTGCGCTTGTGAGGCAGGTGCGGTGCCACTGAGCTAAATCCCTGGCACAATCCTCAAACTTTAAAAAATACCGACAGGAAAAAAAAAAAAAAAAAAAACGGGCCGGGGATTTAGCTCAGTATTTCCCTGCCTGCCTCGGAAGCACAAGGTCCTGAGTTTGATCCCCAGTACCAAAAAAAACCCCACTGACGTCCAAAGTGTCATTACTAGCCAGGCACAGTGGTGCACACCCGCGATCCCAGCTACTTGGGAGCCTGGGGCAAGAGGGTTTTGAGTTTGAGGCCAGCCTGGGCAGCTCAGTGAGACCTTGTCTCATATGCTTTTTTTCTCTTTATTTTTCTATTTGCAGTGCTGGTACCTTACACATGTTAAGTCCATTTTTAAAAAATGTTTATTGGTATATAGTTATGATACAGAATATTTGGATTCATTTTGGGGAATTGGTACATATGTATATCATGATCTTTTGTTTTTTTGATACCAGCCATGGAACTCGGCCCTTGCCCTTGCGAGGCAGGAGGCAGAACCACTGAGCCAAATCCCCAGCCCCTAGCTTGATCATTTTAACCTCCTTTCTTCTCCCGCTCTCCCTAGGCAAACACCAGCACTGAGCTTCACCCCCAGAGGCAGATCTTGTGCAATAAGAAAGGCTGGGGATGTAGCTGAGTGCTCCCCAAGTTCAATCTCCAGGACCAGACCCCCCCAAAAAAGTAACATTACTGTCATGTTTTACAATTAACTAAATATTTTATGTGTTCTTATTAAAAATGTTTGAAGCTCATATAGGTGAGGTGGCACACACCTGTAATCCTAGCACTTCTTGGCTACATTGCAAGTTCAACTTCAGCCTGAGCTATGTAGTGAGGCTTTGTGTTAAAGCAAAACAAAAGTTTCAACTTAATATCCTTCTTTTTTTGAGACAGGGTCTCACGATGTAGTTAGGTTGGGCTTGAACTCACTATGTAGCCCAGGCTGACCTTAAAATCATGGTGAGATCCTCTTGCCCCAACCTGGAGTGCTGGGATTACAGGTGTGCACCACTATGCCTGGCCTTGAACCCCATATCTTTATAAGGTGGACCTCTTCTTCATAGTATGTGTTAGGGTTTGTGTCAAGCCATCCCCCCAAGGCCTCATGTGCTCGTTGGCTATTTTGGAGGTAGTTGAATCAAGAGTGTGTGATTGATTCATGGTGGGGCGAGGCCCGAGGGCACTAGGAGTAAGGGTGTGAGTGCTGCCCACCCCTAAGTCTGAATAAGATAAAAGGGACAGGAAAGAGCTGTTAAGGTCCCTGGCTGCTTTTGGTGTCTTCCACCACCATGAACTGTTGCCCCTCTGCCACCCTGCCTTGGAGCCAGCTGAATATGGAGTGAAACCTCCAAGAATTCTAAGCCAAATAAACTTTTCTCCCTTTAATTTTGGGTGTTGGGTATTTTGTCTCAGCAATGAGAGAAAAGTAGCTAACACAGTATGGATGGAACAGGTCACACCATATGGCAGAGTTGAGACCTGAACTTGAACTTGTATAATATATGTATGCTTATCCACAATCCTGAAAACCAAAAAACTTTTTTTGTAACTTGACACCAAAATTTATTTGGCTGCAAAGTTTGACCTAAAATGTGAGGCTGTCGATAGTCTTTGTTTATTCCATTACGAATACTGTTTTGCAGCATAAATATTATTGTGTTGGATTAAAAGATGTTGCCCTGGGCCGGGGATTTAGCTCAGTGGTTCCACCACCTGCCTTGCAAGCACAAGGACCTGAGTTCGAATCCCAGTACCAAAAAAAAAAAAAAGATGTTGGGCCTGGGATTTAGCTCAGTGGTTTTGCCGCCTGCTACGCAAGCGCAAGGATCCGAGTTCAATCCCCAGTACCAAAAAAAAAGATGTTGCCTCTGAGTCCAACCAAAATATGTTTCATAACACATGGGCTGTGTTCTGCATTAACTGTCAAAATTCTGAAAAATTGCAGGGCTGTAATTGGGGCACAGGGTGGCACAGGCCTGTAATCGCAGCTACTGAGGAGGCTGAGGCAAGAAGACTGATTCCACGCTTGAGGCCAGCTTGGGTAACTGAGCAAGACTTTGTCTCAAAATAAAAAATGATGCCTGCTGCCCAAGTGCAAGGACCGGAGTTCGATCCCCAGTACCAAAAAAAAAAAAAGAAAAGCTAAAAAGGCGTCAAGATGTCCTAGCTCAGTGCTAGAGGGTCCTGGGGTTCAGTCCTCTATAGCATTAAAAAAAAATCTAAATTCAAAAAAAAATAAAAATAAAATAAAAATTCTAAATTCTGAAACATTTGGAGCCTTCTAACTTTAGTTGATATAAAAGAGCAGAGAGTTAACTTTAACTTTTAATCCATTTAACGTTTCAAGGCGTTGGTCATAGCTTGTTACTTCTGTTAACCTGCCTTGTGCTGTCCAGTTCGGTAGCCCCAGCCAAATAGGGTCCTGAGTATCTGAGACGTGGTTCATCGGAACTGAGATGCCCTGTGTAAAATACTGTGACCTGAAAATTTTGTATGGGGAGAAAGGTAAACTTTTCGCTAATTTTTAAATATTCTTGGTCGGGATGTAGCTCAACGGTGCAGCGCCTTCCTGGCAAGCGCGAGGCCCTGAGTTCAATTCCTGGTACAAAAAAAAGAATTAGAATAAATATTCTTTACATGGCGAAATAATAATGCAGTCTCCTGAAGATGTTCGATTGGGTATATTAACGTTACACCTTCCAGTATTACTTATCTCCAGTGGGCGGCGCTGCTCTGCATCCAAGCGGCACCGGCAGCCGAGGGCCCTGGGATGCTGAACCACTGGACGTGACAATGTTTTTAGTGCAATTTTTTTTTTAAATTGGCGTTTGGGATTGAAACCAAAGCCTTCTCACTGAGCCGTATCCCCAGCCCTTTTTATATTTTTATTTTTAAATTTTTAGACGGTCTCCCTAAGCCACTAAGTTGCGCAGGCTGGGCTCGACTTTTCGATCCTCCTGGCTCAGCTTCTGGAGTACTGAGATCACAGGCGTGCACCATTCTGCCCGTCTGGGACGTAAGTTTTAAAAGTTTCACCAGGGATTTAGCACAGTGGTTCCGGCGTCTGCCTTGCAAGCGCAAGGTCCTGAGTTCGATCCCCGGTCCCCAAAAAAACACCCCAAAACAAAAACGGTTTCAAATTAACCCGGTACCCCTGCACTTCACGTTTCCAAGACTATTGGCCAAGCCACGCCCCATCCCCCCCCCGCGCCGGCGCAGAGACTTGCCGTAGATGAAATTTGTCCCCCGCCGGTTCCCGTCAGCCAGCGTCAGGCGTGCGGTCCGCAGTCCCGAATCCGCGATGGCGTTCCAGTGTCAGCGCGACAGCTATGCTCGCCAGGTGTGGCGGGGG